AGGACAGGATCACACTTCAAAACGACCTTGACAGATTAGAGAACTGGGCCAAAACAAACAAGATGAATTTTAACAGGGAGAAATGTAAAGTATTGCACTTGGGCAAAAAACAGGAGAGGCACAAATACAAGACGGGGGACACCTGGCTTGAGAGCAGTACATGTGAAAAGGATCTAGGAGTCTTGGTTGACCACAAACTTGACATGAGCCAACAGTGTGACGTGGCAGCTTAAAAAGCCAATGCAATTCTGGGCTGCATCAATAGGAGTATAGCATCTAGATCAAGGGAAGTAATAGTGCCACTGTATTCTGCTCTGGTCAGACCTCACCTGGAGTACTGTGTCCAGTTCTGGGCACCACAGTTCAAGAAGGACACTGACAAACTGGAACGTGTCCAGAGGAGGGCAACCAAAATGGTCAAAGGCCTGGAAACGATGCCTTATGAGGAACGGCTAAGAGAGCTGGGCATGTTTAGCCTGGAGAAGAGGAGGTTAAGGGGTCATATGATAGCCATGTTCAAATATATAAAAGGATGTCACATAGAGGAGGGAGAAAGGTTGTTTTCTGCTGCTCCAGAGAAGCGGACACGGAGCAATGGATCCAAACTACAAGAAAGAAGATTCCACCTAAACATTAGGAAGAACTTCCTGACAGTAAGAGCTGTTCGACAGTGGAATTTGCTGCCAAGGAGTGTGGTGGAGTCTCCTTCTTTGGAGGTCTTTAAGCAGAGGCTTGACAACCATATGTCAGGAGTGCTCTGATGGTGTTTCCTGCTTGGCAGGGGGTTGGACTCGATGGCCCTTGTGGTCTCTTCCAACTCTATGATTCTATGATTCTATGATTCTATGATTCTAACAAGGTCAATCGGCAGAGTGCATGGAACTTGCAGTCCTGTAACATCTGGAGGACCAGAGATTCCTCATCTCTAGTGTAGATCTCTAGTGCCACCTTGGTATATGTCCCCTCCTTTCTTTCGTTATAGAGTTAAAGGCAGCAACATAAGAAGAGCCTGTTGGACCAGGCCTTTGGCTCATCCTATCCAGCACTGTGTTTTCACAGTTCAATGCCTGTGGGAAAATTGCAAGCAGGATCTGAACACAATATCAATACGATACGATAATCTTTATTGTCATTGTCCCGTACAGAACAACGAAATTAAAAATCTACATAAGACATTCAAAAACCAACAAGCCTGCTATCCCAGCTATCCCAACCTGGTTAGCCCCCTAAAAACTCTGATACCCCATTTTTAAATACAATATACTCCCATGCTATGGTTTTCCGAGTAGTGATGTCTGGAAGTGAGAGCTGGACCATAAAGAAGGCTGATAGCCGAAGAATTCATGCTTTTGAATTATGGTGCTGGAGGAGACTCTTGAGAGTCCCATGGACTGCAAGAAGATCAAACCTCTCCATTCTGAAGGAAATCAGCCCTGAGTGCTCACTGGAAGGACAGATCCTGAAGCTGAGGCTCCAGGACTTTGGCCACCTCATGAGGAGAGAAGGCTCCCTGGAAAAGACCCTGATGTTGGGAAAGATGGAGGGCACAAGGAGAAGGGGATGACAGAGGATGAGATGGTTGGACAGTGTTCTCGAAGCTACCAGCATGAGTTTGACCAAACTGCGGGAGGCAGTGGAAGACAGGAGTGCCTGGAGTGCTCTGGTCCGTGGGGTCATGAAGTGTCAGACACGACTAAACGACTAAACAACAATACTCCCATACTGCATTTAAAACCAGAATCACATATGGGTAGAAACTGTTTCTCAGGCAGCTAGTCCTAGTCTTTATAACCCTGTTCCTTCTTCCAGAAGGCAGAAGCTGAAAGAGATCATTTCTGGGGTGCGCACTATCTCTGCAGCTTTCTTATGGCACCTGGAAGCATAGATTTGATCTAAGGTGGGAAGAGTGCACCCAGTTATTCTCTCGCAGTCTTTACAACCCTGGACAGCAACTGGGAGATTCCCAGCAACTGGTATTTAGAAGCATTACTGCCTCCTGCTGTGGAGACAGAGCATAGCCTTCATGGCGAGTAACTAACAATAGCTTCATCCTCCATTCAGCCTCCATCCTTGGTGGTCTCCCATCCAGGCACTAATCAGATGCCTTTTAGCTTGGCTTCTGCAAAGCGGCTGTATCATGTACCAAAAACGATGCATACAGTATATGAGGGCCGCAATCCTATGTACCTAGGACTAAATCACATTGTGTTCAATGGGACTTACTTCATATACGATTGTGCTATCACAGGGGTCAGCAAACCTTTTCACCAGGGGGCTGGTCCACTGTCCCTCAGACCTTGTGGGAGGCTGAACTATATTTTGGGGGGGAAAATGGACAAATTCCTATACCCCACAAATAACCCAGAGATGCATTTTAAATAAAAGCATACATTCTACTCATGTAAAAACACTCTGATACCAAGACCATCCGCGGGCTGGATGTAGAAGGAGATTGGGCTGGATCTGGCCCCCGGGCCTTAGTTTGCCTACCCATGTGCTATCAGAAAACGAACAACAAGAAGAAAGGCAACCAGAGAGAGCTGTCTGGATATCAGAAGGCAGACTACTGCATTCTATTGAGTTTTGGAAACAGCTGAGCTATGAAGTTTTGTTTATCTGGAGCAAAAGAGTCAGGCCGCCTGAACCCCAGAAGTTTCAAGCGTTGATGTTCTAATCAAGGAAATAACAAACACTATCAATTCCGATGACTATAAAACAGTTGGAGGGAGGGAAGGTTTATTAAAAACTCCACCACTAAAATTAATAGAACTACAATTGCTGCAGGTAGATCAAAATTAAAATGTAAGTCTCAACAGCAGTTTTTGCTATTGTCACCAATTTGGAGGTAGTTTGTCCTTGCTGTAAGAATCAAGGAAGTTGTTTAATTTGCAACTCAAAAAATACATAAGGGGGGAGGGTAGCCCCATCAGGAATAGCAAGGAAGCTCCTTCTGTGAGCAATCCTTCCTGCACTCACAAGAAATTACTCCGGGCCAGGGGTCTGAAACCATGATGAATATTGAACTATATTGGTATTTTGGTCGTCGAGGTCACAAACAGCCCTCCCTGAGTCTAGGCTTTTGATTATTCAGAGTTTTAACTCCAAGCTTTCAGACTTCAGGCTCTTTGAGTCTCCAGGCAATGGAGGATGGGGAATTGTACAAGAGGTAGTGATGGCTACTAGCTTAGATGGCTTTAAAGGAGTGTCTCCATCCCCATCCTTCTGCCTGGACACTGAGGTCCAGCGCTGAGGGCCGGCTGACAGTTCCCTCACTGCGAGAAGCAAAGTTACAGGGAACCAGGCAGAGGGCCTTCTCAGTAGTGGCACCGGCCCTATGGAACACCCTCTCATCATATGTCCAAGAAATAAACCGTAGCTGTCAAACTTCCCTTTTTTTGCGAGAAATTCCCTTATTCCAGCGCCATTTCCCGCTGCTTCCCACTGCTATCCCGGATTGTTAGATATCCCGTAGATTGTCCCCAGGACAGGTGAGGCTGCTGATCCCTTATTTTCAAATCTGAAAGTTGACAGCTATGGAAATAAACAACTATTGGACGTTTAGAAGACATCTGAAGGCATCCCTGTTTAGGAAAAAATTTTAGTGTCTGATGTTTTAATGTATTTTTAATCTTTTGTTGGAAGCTGTCCAGAGTGGCTGGGGAAACCCAGTCAGATGGGCGGGCGAGGTAATAATAATAATAATAATAATAATAATAATAATAGTTGTTGTTGTTATTATTATGTAGGCAAATTCATAGAGGATGGGGCTTCAATAGCTGCTAGTCAGGATAGCTATGTTCTGCCTCTATGGAAATACCAGTTGTTGGGGATTACAGGTGGGGAGAGCACTGTTGCTCTCAGGTCTTGCTTACAGGCTTCCCCTGGGCATCTGGTTGGCCACTATGAGAAGAGGATGCTGGACTAGATGGATCTTCTCATTATTTTTTTATTTATACTGCTCTTCATTTGCTGATCTCAGGACGCTTCACAACATCCTTGGCCTTTCATAACCATCTTCAAATATTTCAAGGGCTGTCACATGGAAGATGGTGCCAGATTGTTTTCTCCTGCTCCAGAAGGTAGGACCCAAACCCAAGTAACACCAAAGGATATTCTGACTAAGCATCAGAAAGAACTTTCTGACAGGAAGAGCTGTTCAACAGTGAAATGGTCCCCCTCATGAAGTTGTGGACTCTCTTTCCTTGGAGGTTTTTAAGCAGAGGTTGGATGGCCATCTGTCACGGATGCTTTAGCTGAGATTCCTGCATTACAAGGGGTTGGATGAGATGACTCTCAGGATCCTTTCCAAACCTACATTTCTATGATTCTGTGATTATCATGCCAGGGATAATCTGCAAAGGAGAGGGTATGAGAAAACCCAGTTTGAGGGAGGGAAGACTGTGGGAAAGCAGTGGTTTGGAGGATAGTGTCATAAGGACAATGGAGAAATGGAGGACTAGATCATTCTTGGGGTCTATTCCAACTCTACAATTCTGTTATCTTATTATTTTAATCCAGCAGGGGTCTTCTTATATTCTTTCTCATTCTGAAGAAAAGGTAAGGTCTACAAAACAAAAGAGAGAGAAAAATACACCTTCCGCTTTTGATATCAGCTCCATCTTTTTTTCAACAATCCGCAGCCCACCACACATTGTTTAATTCTGCTCCTGGTCCACTACAGTAGGGACAGGGGAGCTGTCTTGCAGTTGGACTCCAACTTCCATCATGGCTAAAAGGTCTTTGATTGTGCCAGTTGGAGTCTAACAACATTCTGAAGGGTGACAAGTTCTCCATCATTGCGCGAAGCAAATTATTTGAACTTTCAAGTCATTACGAGACTCCACTTCTTCTCTAACAGAGCCGATTGCCTGGTATCCCCCCAAAGTTCTTGACAACCACATGCCTACTGACATCCGAGGCCCAAATCTTGTTGCTGGGCTACAGCCTCCATCACCCCTGGCCATTGTGTAACCTGATGGGGGATATGATCCAATGACATGGGGAAAGCCACAGGTTAGTTACCCAAGCTATAGGAGAAAGAGTTCTTGGACCTCCAGGAAAGTGAAATTGTTATTCCAGAGCAGATAGGAAAAGGATACCTGCATTTATGAAAAATTCAGGGCTTTTTTTCAGCTGGAACTCACCACAACTCAGTTCCAGAACCTTTCAGGTGAATGTCACTGCCATTCCAAGAGAACGAGGGAGTTGTTCATGGTGAGTTCCGGCACCTCTTTTTCTACAAAAATAGTGCTGCCAAAATGTATATTAATGCTACACTTTGAATGTCAGCTTGCCACACTGTCTATCAAAGCACAGGATGTTAGATAATATTCTGCTTTTCCTTACCATAATGTTTAGCAGTTTAAACCAACTAGTGTTTAATAGGGATGCACTGTTAAACATAACTGAATGTTAAAACGCTGTTGTTAATTTATGACTCCTTATTTTCCTCTGTAGGGAGAAAGCCTAAGAAAAGAGAAAAATCACTCGAGGTCTGAAATGTGTCTACTGAAGAATTACCTGAATTAATAAAATATGAAATTAAATAATTATTCTTACAATTATAATTTGACAAAAAGCGCCGTAAGGAAAGATTCTTATTACTAGTGCTACGTAATTATGTAATTGAGTAATTAGTAATAAATTACCTGCTGGTAATGATAATATCTTCACTTGGAAAAAAAAAGGTCTAAAAATATATTACTTTTTCTGATCTGAGTTATTTTGTCACCTGGTGTGACATCAATGGATTATTATGGCAATATGAAGAAAATAAGGGGCATTATTGACAATTTCAGTACAATCTCCCTTTTCAAATGAACATGAGGTTGTATAGGGGAAGTTGTTAATGGATTATGCCCAATTTTTAATTTTCTCCTCTGCATGGAAGAATTAATGGTATCAAGGAAAACAAGAAGTCAAAAGTTTTCCTTTTAGAGCACTGTTTCACAAACTTGGGTCTCCAGCTGTTTTCAGACTACAATTCCCATCATCCCCGACCACTGATCTTGCTAGCTGGGGATGATGGGAGTTGTAGTCTAAAAAGAGTTGGAGAGCCAAGTTTGAAAAACACTGTTTTAGAGTATGGTTGGTTAACCTGTAGCTCTCCAGACTTCATCCCATCATCCCTGACCACTGACCATGCTGACTGAGGCTGAGTTGAGATGGAGTCCAACAAAGATTAGCCACTCTTGCTTTTGATGATGATGAATATATCTATATTCATGGACTAGTTTTAATCATAAGGCCCCAGGTGGGTTGCAACAATTTAAAATTCAGAATTAAAAATAATTAATACAAATTGAGGCCACAGGAATAGGGTGGGTCTGGAAAACCCACATCTCAGATGTCAAAAGATGGGTCTTCAGCATACACCAAAAGCTTTACAGTGAAGGTGTCAGACTCACCTCTGTGGGAGGGAATTCCACTATTTAGGGGTTGCCATGGAGAATGCCATCTTCTGGACCACCACTCTCTGAACTTCAGAGGGTGGAAGATCTAACAAGATCTTCTGTGGATCTTAGAACCCAAGAGGTCCAGTAAGGAAGGAGGTGGTGTCTCAGATATTTGAGGCCTAAGTCATTTAGAGTTGTAAACACTAAGATGAGCCCCTTAAATTAGACGTAGAAATGAAGTTGTAGCCAATGCAACATTGAAGGTGCTAGGTGCTGACACCAGCCCTGTATGGTTTATTTATTCCATTCCAATCCATTGCATTCCTTTTTTTATATAAAATAGAAACACACACACACACACACACACTCCATAACAGATACATACCAGAATTTTAAAAATCTGCTTAAAAGGCTTGTTGAAAAAAGAGAAAATATTCAATAAACACCAAAAAGATAATAGATATGGCACCTGCCTGATATGTCACAAGAGGGAGTTTCAAAGGGCACGTGCTCCCATGCTAAAGGCACAATTCCAACATAGTAGAAATGGGCATCATGATGAGACAAGTATCTACAGGAGACCCATTTCTGAAGTAAACAGCATCAGGGCTGGAATTGAGTGCTGATGCTTTGACACTATGGCTGCAATACATTTAAAGCACAGCGATACCACTTTAAACAGTCATAGCTCCTTAACTACATAGGGCATGTAGTTTGTTAAAGATGATCAGAATTGCTGGAACACCCCTATTCTTCTTCAGAGCTACAATTTATATGGTTGAACAGCCAATCCCTCTCCCCAGGGAACTCTGGGAATTGTAGCTCTGTAAGGGGAAGAGGGGTGTCCTAAGAACTCTCAGCACCCTTAACAAACTACCTTTAAATTCCTAGGAGTTTATCTCAGTGACGGCCTTACTTGGAAAATAAATACAACCCAGGTGGTTAAGAAAGCCCAGCAGAGACTCCATCTCCTCAGTGTATTGCAGAAGAACGATGTCAATCAACATTTGATGATCTCCTTCTACCGGTCAACAATAGAACGTGTTCTTTCATACTGCATCACAGTGTGGTACGCTGGTTTGAAATCATCTGATAGGAAGTGCCTACAGAGGGTGGTGAATACAGCACAAGATATTATGGACTGTCCCGTGAATCCACTGGATGTAATAGTGGAAGAACGTTGCCTCAGGAGAGTGAGGAGAATTCTCAGGGATGATTCACACCCTGGCCGGCACTTTCTTGATCTCCTGCCATCGGGCAGAAGATATAGAAGCATGATTAGTTGCACCAACAGGGTAAAGAACAGCTTCTATCCGTGGGCTGTTAGGCTGCTGAATGAAAAGATAACAACAGGGCAACTGACTTTCGGGTTTGGTGGGTGTGCGTCAGTAAACGAGGGGAATTAAGACTAAGAGAGCGGAGTGGGGGGGTGCTCATGTAATCTCACTGTATACAAGTTGTACAAGTGACAATAAAATATTTCAATTTACAGCTCCCAGAATTCTTTGGGGGAAGCCATGATGGTTTAAAGTGGTATCATAGTGTTTTATATGTACGGTATGAATGGTCAGTTCTTATGTACGGTATGAGTGGTCAGTAGGGACGCGGGTGGCGCTGTGGGTAAAACCTCAGCACCTAGGACTTGCCGATCGTATGGTCAGCGGTTCGAATCCCTGTGGCGGGGTGAGCTCCCGTCTTTCGGTCCCAGCTCCTGCCCACCTAGCAGTTCGAAAGCACCCTTAAGTGCAAGTAGATAAATAGGTACTGCTTTATAGCGGGAAGGTAAACGGCGTTTCCGTGTGCTGCGCTGGTGCTGGCTCGCCAGAGCAGCTTCGTCATGCTGGCCACGTGACCCGGAAGTGTCTCCGGACAGCGCTGGCCCCTGGCCTCTTAAGCGAGATGGGCGCGCAACCCCAGAGTCGGACATGACTGGCCTGTACGGGCAGGGGTACCTTTACCTTTACCTATGAATGGTCAGTAGAACTCAGCCCTGCAAAATGTTTGCACAACTCTGTAATCTCACCTGGGACGACTATAATGAGATCATCAGGAAACGGCTGCATTCCAACTCAGTCTTAAGCCTCTGATGTTGCCAGCATTGTGTGTGTAGGAAATCATTTCAAGTGCTTATCAAGGATTTCATAATACCAAACCGAGTTGAGTATACCATTGTTCTATATATAAACCATAATCCAAACAATAGATGTTAGATTCAAACAATTGCTTACGTTTCAGCAGGAGTTTGTTACTAAAGGGGAGCCAGCTGCTCAACAGGATGGTTCCCTGCTATTTTACTCTCAAGAAGGCATAAACCAATTATCCATTGTGTATTTGGCATTCCTGCTCCGCCAATCTGCAAACAAATGTTGCCATGCCAGAGAAACTGTGGGCCTTCAGGACCCTGACATTTTAACTGCCATGGCTCATCCTTGCTATTAACCACTTTGAAGAAGACATGAAAAGGATTTTATTTGAAATGGTACGCTTAGGAGACCACTATGATGTCCTCCACATTCTCCCTGCTCATCTTTTTACACTCCAAATCCTACCCATAAATGGGGAGTGGTTGGAGATAAAAGCAACCAGAGTTTAATATGGTGGCTTGGACTTTACCATCACTGTTCATCCCCTCTACATTTCCTGTTGGTCCCTTCTTGGTAGATCTCTGTGTTTATTAGAGTCAGACATGGAGTTTCTTGTGTTACTTTTGTCCTTAGTTTTAGGTCTCTGAAATATACTCAGAGTCGCAAAGTGATTTCATGCTCTTTATTCAGCTCATAGTGGTGAGGAGGAATGAATGAATGTCCCCTCAAAGTATCTGCTTTATATACATTATTTACACAATGGGCTGCACATGATTGGCTAATTCCAGAATTCTACTGTAAGCCAATCAGGTTGTGGATTCACTTCTATCTGGAGCATGATTGGGTGGTTCCTGCCAACCAATCATACTGCTGCATTGTTCTAGGACCAATCAGACTGCTGCATTTTGGATCCTATTGTTCTAGGACCAATCAGACTGCTGCATTTTGGATCCTATTGTTCTAGGACCAATCAGACTGCTGCAGTTTGGATCCTATTCAACTCAGTACATAACAGTCTCATACATAGCAGTGAGACATGCAGCCAAACATACAGAGGAAAACTCTCCCAGAACTGTACAGCCAATCAGAGCACATGCTACCTCAACGAAGATCATGCCAGTCTGTGTAGTTAAGCAACACCTCCACACATGCACACAAACCATTTCCTGACTTACTTACTAATAACCAAATTAACCCTTAAGTCATGCACAGAATAATCTCTGCTGTTGCAGTTCCAACACCGTGTACTAAGATGCTTAATAATAAGTCAGTTGCTCACTAACATCCTGTTTTGAAACTCCCAATTTTTACCAGCTGCAAAATCAGAAGACTTACTATGCCCCTGATGGTCCACCGGTACACAGTTGTTCAGCTGCCTTTGGTTAAGTGTGTCACAAGTTGTGCAGGCCTGTGATCAATATTAGACAGACAGATTTGCAAATTGCTGCTGGGTTTCCCTTAAAGTGAAATTCCTAAGTGAACACAGAGGTGAATTTGGGCTAAATTTCTGTGGGATTTGTGCAGAAGGGAAAAAAGAGTTTGGTAAGTCTAGCACAAAATCTCAAAGGGATCTGCAGATCTCTCGCAGAGTTCCATGTTTGATCACAGGCATAACTGGGTGAGGATGAAGGAGAAGTACCAGACAGTGACAGGCTGCGAAGATGCTACATAGCAGACGTGAATCAAAAATAGCTTATAATATTGGAAGCAATCATGTTTTAAATCAGCACCTGCTTCTTTAGTACTGCATAGCAAAATGACATTTATAATAGCATTAAAACCTGTCTGGTAGAATACCGAGCCAGGTTTATAGGATCATAGAATTGTAGAATTGGAAGGGACCCCGACACAGATGGCCACACAACCTCTGCTTAAAAACGTCTAATGAAGGAGAGTCCACAACCTCCCGAAGGAGACCATTCCGCTATGGAAGAGCTCTTACCATCAGAAAGTTCTTCCTGATTTTTAGTTAGAATATCCTTTCGTGTTTCTTGAAGCCATCGGTTTGGGTCCT